ACCTCACTTTGGGAAATCCCAAAACCAGACTTCAATTGTTGGACCTGAGCTGAAAGTTTGTGTGATAACTTTCCCGTTCGTCACTGAGCATTATTTGCGTCATAAACTAAATCAGGCGATCGACATGGTTAAAATGATCTATATATTAAAAATGAAATTTTCCATCCATTTTTATTATAATTTAATTTACATGGTAAAACCAGAGTAAAACAAACACATTCCGTAACTGATACTTCAAAATGAACACCGGTGAAAAAAAAAGACGATTTGTTGATTATCGAAGTACCCGGACGCTGTTCATATCTATTAGGTGTGCAGATTGAGTTTGCTCAAACAGCACGAAACCTTGGTGTCTACTTTGACAGAACAGTAACTACGAAAAGTCACATTAACATGCTTTGCAAGGCGATTTTTCCAGAGTTGCGCAGAATTAGTCATATCAGACCTTTCTTAACGTTTGATGCAACAAAGAGGCTGATGTCTGCATTTGTGCTAACACGCATGGACTACTGCATTGCTCTCTTGGTGGGTCTTCCAGCTACGGTCCTGGATAAAATACAAAAAGCGCAGAATAATGCGGCTCGCATTGTTCTTCGTAAACGCTAATTCGACCATGCTAAAACACTTCTGAGAGAGCTGCATTTGGTTGCCGATTCGTGCTCGCATAGAGAACAAAATTGCAACTCTTTGCTACCGCTGCTTGCATGACCTGACGCCGTCATATCTCTAAGCACTCATGACGCCTTATCTACCCAGTAGACAACTCCGCTCATCCGAGAGTGGCAAACTCTCGATACCGCGTGTTCGCCTTGAGACTTACGGAAGGCGCACTTTCGCATTTGCTGGCCCAACAATTTGGAACACCCTTCCTGTGACTCTCAGAAACAGCCAGACACTGGAATCCTCCAAAACCGATTTGAAAACACATCTATTTGAATGGGTATACTCGTTTGTAGTTTTTTGTAGTTTAACGTTTTAATGTGGTAAAATATAGATTGTTTCATTTCTTTTTTCATATGGTTGACTTTGTATCGCGCTTCGAGCCTTTGGGGATGAAGCGTGATTTAAAAAAAAAAAAAATTATTATCATCATGCCAAGGAACATTTGACCATACTTTCCTGGGAAGGGATCTTTTAAGATTAAAAAAAAAAAAACAACGAGGTAAAAAATTGCATAAAAAGAACAAGGAAAAGAAAGGATGGAGGGGAAGGAGGTGGGACTATAATGTAAAAGAAACACAGGAGAACAACTAACGTTTTGACAAAAAACCTTGTTCGGTTAGCAAAAAAAAGTTGTAAAAAAAAAATTAAAAAAAAAAAAAAGAAAAAAAAACTCCTAAAAACATTGTTTTTGTATCAATCCTTTAGAACTAGTAATATTGAGCAAGGGTGGGGGCGCTTGCAACCGCATGTTTTTCACGCACACGCCCATGAACTATATTAACATTTAAATGACCCACCCGCTTTTACATATTTATTTCACCAATTTTTTTAGAAAATCAAAAGGAGATATTACGCAATAAACGTAGTTGCAATATTTTTTGTTTAAGAATCTCATTTATTCACCGTGCCACATTCTTTTTATACCCCACATCACGCGACTACTCATTCCAGTTCTCCAACCAATATTCACACATTAAAGCTTTAAAGATTCATGAAGACAACTCACTACGTCCAATCATGTAACATGATAACAACACATGACAATCAGGTCACACATTTCAATCAATACGCAACAATAATCGTCAGTCATACATACTGTCACAGTTAGGCCCTATCTGGAATTTTCCATCATGTTCCCCTTGAAAAACAAGAAAAACTTATTTTTGGGGGGTTGGTACTAAAAAATTGACAGAATTTGTTGTCATCGGCAACGAGACGATGTACCAAGTTTCAGCTCGATAGCCCGACAGGAAGTGGGTCAACTTGCCGTCCGAAGATTTCACCTGCCACCCAGCCACGAACAAAAGCGAAGTTTATATAAAGAATTTAAAAATCGAAATCTTTTTATTATAACCCTATAGCGGAAGTTGACCTTCGGCCTATGGGAACCTCCTTGACCTAATATAAATACCTTCGGAATTTATCGCCGGTCTTAACGCTAAGCCAAAACCAGCTGCAATGAGACTATAATAAATGATTTAAAGTTATAATAAAATTGATTGTATTTTAATATTGGTTCCAAATATTTTTTCTTTATAAAAATAAATTCAAAACTATATTTGGAATTTAATAAGATTTAATCTAATGCTAGCTATTTTATTGGTCGACTACAAGTGGCTATTCCCATGTTTCGAACAAATCAAAATCAAGCAAATAAGACATCCCCCGGCCTGTTGTGATATATTTAGAACAGGAAATGTTTCTCAGAAACACCAATTTTGATACTGAAAAATTGTTCAAGTAAAATTCTAAGTAACTTAACGTTTGGTAAGTTTCTATTTCAAATATACTTGTCCGGATGTCCTTTGGTACTTGCTGTTCATATCCTGACCTGCCATAGCCATAACTATTTTTAAATACTATAGTTGGATCGGTCACAATTACTTTCAAACTCCAATCAAGCAGACTCAAGTACTTCACTACTTAAACGTGCTACTTAGTTTAGGGCGACTAGGCTGAGGCTCTAGTCCAGGGTAAAGACAACAAAGTCAAGTAAAGTGACTACTAGAACAACAACAGCCATCGACTCATTCATTTTCACACTCCTCTACTGTCTTCTTAGTATATATTGTCTACTCTACTTCGACCTATGTTACTCCGTCGGTCACTAACTACTAGTTCTTGTCCTACACTACAGCCGTGCCATGGGTACTAACGATACTCTAACTGGACTAACTCTATCTCACACACGGTTCTGATAACGCTACTAATAATTATTAACAATACTATTACTTCTGCTAAACTTACTTATGTAGATAATAATAATAATAAGAGGTCTTATATAGTGCGGTACCCCAGCCTGTACATACAAATTTTATCAAAAGAGACATAATCATGACATTAAAATAAAATACATTTATGAAATAAAGAACAGCAATGTATATTCACCCACCCCACCACATAAATTTTACAAGGCAAACCATGGACGGCAGCCAGCAAGATCATTTATTGGTCAGAGGAGGGGAATCAGTCAGGGTAGTATAATTTAAAAAGATATGTTTAGATATCAGTTGAGTTAGGGCCAATAGCCTATACTATAGCCTATATCATAGTACTACTATAGTATAGCAGGCATGCAAAACTCAAATTTGTAAGGCGGGCCTTAATACTTAATACTCTGTGAAAAACGTGTGCGGGCCAGAAGAAAATAATAGAGGAATTAAGTGGTCCAAAAGAAAATAGGACAGGGGGAAAAGCTATTAAGAAAAGAATAAAAAACATTTCGTTACTTCGCGGGCCACAAAGTGGGTTCTGGCGGGCCACATGCAGACAGTGGGCTGTATGTTGTGCAGGCCTGGCCTATTTAGTGTACTGATCTATATATTATTATTAGGCTATAATATAGCCCTTCTCTAGAGGTCTTTACCAAATTCACAGTGCCCGTTCACCACCTCTCCTAGCCCCCTCTCTCTTCTAGTTCTTACTAGAGCAGCAAAATCGGTTAAAATACCTGGCTGAAAACCTGTCAACCCATGGAGATCATATCCCATGGAGCTGATACTCTGGAACCAATTAATGTATTTTCACAAGTTTGCAGAGATGGCCAGTAATATTATGTACTGATGTAACGGTTTTGATTTTTATTGTCTGTTTCAGATAAATTATGAACTATAAGCTCATCACTATTGCTGTTACTTTATACATTAATTAGATTGTTTCACCATCTAAACTTGCTAGTTTATATATTGAGCCCGTTATCCCACATTAGCTTGGAAAGCCTTGGTGAGCTTTAAGCAGTTGTAACTTTTTAAGAAAAGAAGATATTTTTAAATGGTCATTCTCAACAAAAATCATTTCTTAAAACGGGACACCCAAATTTAGCTTCTGTCGGTAAACCATTGACAGCCTGAATTCTTAATATATATATAATATATAATATATATAATATGCATAATTTGGAAAAGTCCTATTCCCAGAATGATGCTTTGTCATCATATTTATATAATTATTATCTATATTTTTGTCTATTTCTGTGATGCACCTGCAGCTGAGATTATACAAAGAAAAGGGGTGAGCTCAGCTTGTGGATAGACAAGCTGATGGATAATATTTCTATATTTGTATGCTCTGATTGGTATACTTGCCTACCTTCATTTTGCAGGATTAGGACCCATTAAACTCTGCCTAATGCAGGCCCTGATTTAATGAGATATCATGTTTTAAACTCATCACATGAACAATCATGTCAGTACAAATATATTTTGATATGGAAGGTATACATTTCACAACTCCATTTCCCAAATAAGCCAGTTTGAGTGCCCACTGTTATTTCTGCCAGTGGCAATAGAATCTTTGTGACTGAAGCTTCGTAATATTGTATGCTAACTTTTAATGTTAATTGATTGAGATTTTGTTCATACTTATCTTTCAATGATATGGAGATTGGCTATTATATCAAAATCATTCATAAATCCTGCCAGTTTGATAAGATAATTTTGGTACAATTTAGTCTTAATAAAATATAAAAGTTGAGAAAGTGAATAAGTTGATTTTTTTTAAAGAATAAAATGGACTAGCCTAAAATATTGTCTGCCTATACAGTTTTTTTTATTTGTAAATTTAAATATTGATATCTAATTGGATATCTAAATATGTCACTCATATTCATAGGGACCTTCCATTTAAAAAATTAAAAAACCATTATAATCTACTTCTGTTATACTTAGTATTTTTAGATGAATGTAAACCTTTTATTAGTTTCTCCCACTAATAATGTATTTACACAAGAGTTCTTCCTGTTTGCTGTGCTTCTTGGAAAAACAAATCTCTTCTTGGAATAGGTGTGGCCTAGATAAATTTGAAATTGAGGTTTCACTCAAAAAGTGATATTTATAAATAGATATTTCGGAAAATCCATTATTATTTTATTTCTTGAAATTTAAAGCATGTGGACTGTTAAAGTTGGAGTATTTCATATCTTGTAACAAACTAATTTAAAAAAACTAAAATTAAAATGTGCTTAACATTAATCTAAAATGGTTGTATTTAAGAAATTAATTTTGTAAGTATGTGATCTTATAAATGGACAATAATTAATTTTGAGAAAGTTAAAACCACAAATGGCTACCCCTATGATGAATGGAGACTGTGATACCAAGGCACAGGTAAATTAATACAATTTTAATTAGGGAGACCTGCTTTTAAAAATATGATGATTATGTTTGAATACTTTTACAGCGCTGGTGTCCATGTTATTTTAGCATGCGCACAGAGCTCTGAAGTCCTAAATTCTATTTAAAGAAAAAAGTCTTTAAATGACATTTTTTCATTTTCCCTCAAAGATTGAGGCAAACCATTTCATTAATTTAGGCGCAGTAGCTTCAAAAGATCACACCCCGTATGACTTCTTTCTGTGTCCATCAACACTGGGAACTTCCAGTAAGAACTTTGTTGAAGAGCGCAGGTTCTATATGGATAAATGTTTAGAAATCAGTTTTTGAAGATAAAAATAAAATCCTTCATTTTGATGTTAATTTTTTTGGGGTAATCTAACATTTCAGCATCTTTTATTCAAAAATCATTTTGTTCCTGTTAGAAGTGCTATTTTAAATGGTTATTCTTTTCTGGATGTTAATACGACATTGGAGAGAGGGCCACTGGGTTTAAGGTGGCAACAGAAAGAGAGAGTGGGTGCTGTTTTCTTGTTGAAGTGCCAGGCCGATGTGCTACCAGTATCACTTTACAGGAGCGCATAAAGAGATATATCCTTCCAGGCTCATTTATTGTATTGAACAGATGGGTGGCTTATGCAAACATGAACCAGCTCACACATGGAATCTATGAAAAATCCTTTGTGGTCCATCAACAAAATTTTGTCGATCCAAATGACGCTGGTTTCTACACACAGAATATGAATGTTGATGTGATTCAAACTGAAAAGACAGTTTGGCACAAGTCTCGATCTTTTCCCTTCATATTTGCATAATTTCATGATCTGCAATTGTTTTGTGGAGGTGATATTTTCAAGAACTTCCTTGTTACTTTGAGGGGAGAACTATGCATAAACTTAAACTCTTGTTTTTTTTCATATATTAAATTGTTTAAATTTTTCTGTTTTAAAATTTTTGTTTGGATTATTTATAAATGTGCTGAAATGAATAATACATTGTCATTAAAAACATTTATTTTTATCAACAACAGAATTTTATTTTCTAAAATAAAGAATAGCTGTTAAAGTTTCACTTCAAACTGAATAATTGACCTTGAGGGTAGATGACCATCTTTTGTATCTTTCTTTGAATAAACATTCTGACATATGAAGTTCCATATTCAACAGAGAAGTTTTTTGTTAGCTAACTGACATCTTACAAATTTTTAATGTTTGATGAAAAAATCCAATGCTTCCAAAGTACTTGTCATTTCTCAGCTGATTTATTAGCTGTTGAATATCAATTCTGGAGTAGTTCTAAAATGACAGTTACTAATCGATCCCTATGGCGCTACAGCCAGTGTAGGCCTTTGGCCTGCCTGACTACTTCCTTCCACTCAGACCTAACTGATGCTTTTTTTTTCGTGCTTGGATTCCCAGCAGCTGTAGATATTTTCCCACATCCTCTATCCATCTAGGCCTAGATCTGCCTTTGAATTTGAACCATTTCTTCTGGGGCTTTGGTGGTGCACCCTCTTCACTCCCATATCATTTGGCATTCTTTCTAAATTTCTTGCCCAGGGCAGCCTGCCTTTTATTATTTCTGCTACTAGCGTGGGATCCTGTTATAGCCCAAACTATTCCTAGTTGGTTCGTATTCTCCATCCATATTCATCCTTTGTTGGTCTGTATATTTTCCTGAAAAGGTTTTGCTCTCATGTGTTTAAAACGCTTTCTGCTGGGTTTTTTCAGGGTACTAGTTTCACTTGGATATGTTACTACTGGTTTGATTACAGTTTTAGGTATAGTTTTCTCTGTTTCTCTTGTAATGTTTTTACTTTTGCTTACTTTGTGACTACTGAAGTATGCCCTGTTTCCAGGCCAATATTATTTCTTTTATTTCTGTTTTTAAGTCTTTTGTTTCGTTTATTAAGGATCCTAGATATTGGCATTGATTTAATTTTTCAAAAGTGTGATTTCTAATTTTAATGGTTTCATCTGACTTTAATTTTCTTATCATAGTCGTGAATTTTGTTTATTGGTTAACAGTCACTAAAGTGTGAATAAATTTTTTTAGAAAGGTTCATTCAGGTAATACCAATCCCCTAAAAACACACGTATCAGTCTAGTTTATATATTTTATTTAATTTTAAAAAAGCAATACAATTAAATCTAAAGATTTATGTAAACTGTGAAAAAAACAACAACCTGCAAATTGCTTATCAGTAGCGGCCGAGACATTATTGCAGCTTCTCCAACTTACACCCAGGAAAGATTTTAAATAAATCATTTTTCAAGCAATTTTTCTTTTTTTAAATCCATAAATAACCATCAGTAATGATATGAAAAGCTAAAACATTTTTTTCCATGCTTTCTCTTTGTAAAGCATGCATGTATTTATGTTATAATTGAAACCTTTATAACATAAAGTTGAGAAATAAATGCACATTTACATTAATTTTTAATAATAATGCGAAAACAAGTTTAATTTTTCAGCGCTTTTATTTCTGTTGGCCTTCGATAACACATGTTTTTAAATGAGTGCTTATATATTTTATAATTCATACATTCTTAGGTAAAGTATATTGGACATTTAAAACATCTTATTTTTTTAACATGTACACACAGATGCATGTTTACTAATGTTTCCAACATGTCTTTAATTCAATAGGCCAAAACAATTAGGTTGGCAAGCATTGTGTCATTAAAAATGTTTTAAATAAACCAAGTTTAAATCATTTTGATTTTTTGCCTAACAGGTATTATTATACATTGAAAGAGCAATTTTGCTGTTCATTAATAAAAACAATTATTTTTGAAAACATGATGGTTGGTTGATTAATTTACTACATTTATTTATTTTTTTTTCTCATAAGATTTTGCCCATTATCAACAATAATCGACCCTTCGATCCCAATATGTCTCAGTGGGCTAAAGTCCAGCAAAGTCCTACCATCTTTAGACAGATGCAGGCATATTACCCACCACACTTTCCAATGGAGGTCAGATATTTCTTGTGCCAGTGGATTGAGGATCAGAACTGGTAGGTTAAGTTTAGAATAATTGCATGCATATCTTTATTTGAAAAAAAAAATGTTTTTTTGATTAGATCTTACTTTTAAGATTTGTTTTAAATACATGGTTCAGGTTTGTGAATAAAATGTTTTCTTTATTTTAAAGAATTTTATGTTTGTTCTTTACAATACTTTTAGAATATTGAGTACACTTCTAAGAAAAAAAGCCACGATTTTCATGGCTAAAGGATTTAACTAGCTTTGTTTAATTCAAATTTGTATAAAATCAAAATAGAATCTGAGGTATGTTAAAACTTAATGACTTGAAATAATTCCACCTTTAAAATAAGCCAGACTGACTCTAATGATTAGGCTTTATTTTTTTGAAGAAGCTCAGCATTTTATTGAAAAATATAAAGTTGCATATTAATGTATTAATGTATCATCTGAAACATTTTAAAGTTGTGTAAATGTTTTGGGGGAAAATTTTTTTTTTTTTTTAAATTTTACCCACAGCCATATCCTTAACCAGGGTTTTTTAACCTGTGGTCAAGTGACTCATTTGGCAGTCTGAAAAAATTAAGAGGATCTGTGTGCCCCCATGTAAATTTATTATATGCATTTAAAAACGTTTATATTAGGAAGGGTTCAGTGACCTTCATCTACCTGGCAAGGGGCCCTGGTGAGTTTAAGGACCCTTGATCTAAACAGTGGTTTTTATATTTCCGTACCCTTTGATTCTACAGTAATAATATTCAGTTCATAAGAAGCTCTACATCTAAAATGCTACAAATAATTTGCAGTGATTTAAAATATTAACTCATATGTTTTCCAGGGATTTAATTGATGAAACAGATCCCCACAATGCAAAATTGGCTGAAGCTGTATTGGCACAAATGCTCGAGTTGTTGAGACAGAAAGCTGCAGAATTAACCAGTCAAGAATTTTTCATTATTCGCATGAAACTCGAGGAATCATTGAACAAACTTGATGTAAGTAAGACCTCTATGAAATAAATGGTTAAAGCTGTTTGTGGGACACATATGAAATAAAAGGTTAAAACTGTTTGTGGGATACATGAAATAAATGGTTAAAGCTGTTTGTGGGAAATATATGAAATAAATGGTTAAAGCTGTTTGTGGGACATATAAGAAATAAATGGTTAAAGCTGTGTGTGGGACATATATGAAATAAATGGTTAAGGCTGTTTGTGGGACATATATGAAATAAATGGTTAAAGCTGTTTATTGCCCACTAGGTACCAGGAAAGGTAAACTGCTAACATGGTTTGAGTTCCATAGTTTTTTTAAGCCCTTAATCACAGCAGTTTAGTGGATAAGACTGCTAATCTTGTGTGACAGTGCATGCAAATTAAATTGATTGATTTTTGTTTGTGTAGGGAAATCAGGGAATGCTACACAGCAGAAATTAGAATCACAGCATTCAATTAGAGAATGCTTTTAATTGATCAAATCATCAATACAATTTGAAGGGGGTCAATTATATTCAAGATGAATCACTAAAACTAGTGTACAATTTTAATTTCATGAAAATGTTCTAATGTTTATGCCTTGAATTTATAGAAGAAAAGGATAATTATATCTATATTTACATATACACACAGCATGCACCAAAACTAGCAGTACTGAAACTCCCATATCTTGAATTCATATTTGTGTTTGTCAACTGTGCATAGGCCCAGCTGCCACATGACCATAGAGGTGAAAAGGATTATATGTTCTACAGTTTTGGTCAAAAACTCTCTACAAAGGAAAAAGTGTTCATGTTTTTTTAGAATTTTTTTTACTCATTTGTAAATGAATGTAAAGGGTGACCGTATTTTTGTTAAAAAGTTGGAAGAGCAATGCCAAGAGAGATTTTAAAAAAAAATAAGGCACCAAGTAACAGGGTTCTGTCAACGGAAGAGAAGGTAGGATTGACCTGTTCATGAATGTGACTTTCGTTGGAGAACCACTCTTTCCTATAAAAATTCTGGACACCATATACAGAGATGTCCACAATACATCATCCTGGCTCACATACCTGTATTGGGTACAAAAATGCACCAATGTCCTTAAACAAACCACTGATGGATGTCTTGCTGATGTTCATTTTGAAGGATATTCCCCGTAGACTTCACAAGGGTGAAACCCAGCACCTCCTGGAGAACACAGTGTGATTCTCATTATTGAACACTTACTTTTCTATCAGACTTCCTCTTCGATCAGACTTCCTCTTCCATTAATTGACACAATAAACTTCCATAACGGTAATTTCATTACATTAATAGCATAACTGTGTTTCTCTGTGCCTTCTTATGAAATCTATTTGGAATTGTTCTGCCACCTTTAATCAAACAGGATCTCCCTTCACAATCACTTGATCACTTAGGTAAGAGTAAAATGCTGGTCAATTGTGAATATTTTGTTTCTCCGTCCAAAAAACCCATTTACACAAAAACTGACCAACATTTTCACTTCTTGGAACACACAGCTGCACCATTGACCCATGCATGTACCCATTCAAGATGTTTGAGTCTCAGTACTGTTACTTTTGGCGCACACTGTATATAATTTATTAGTATTTTTAGGCCTTACTACTATCCAATTGATAATTATGTACCCTCTTTAAAAGATGGTTACTAATAAATACTTTTATTTACATCTCAATGGTTTTAAAAATGTCTCAAAATTTCAAATTAATTTCACTCCCTGTTCCAAAAACATTATTGGATTTTGGAAAACTCTTCAAGTTTTAAAACGTTTAAAATGTTATCGGCTTGCACATGTTAATGTGGCCATTTTTAATTCCTGTCAAATTACTTCAGTAGAGTTAGGATCGTCTAAAGAGAAAAATATTCTCAAGTTAAAAACTTTTGTTAGGGCTCCCTTTATCGTTCTAATCCTTCATATCTAATTCCATTTACTTTTTAATTCACAGTGCGTAGTTAAAGGTAATCCACTTGAAATGATCCAAGTGATCAAGCAGTGCCTAGCAACAGAACGAAAGATTATTGAGCAAACTGAGGTACCTCATTTAACTTGAATCACATTAGTTTAGACATGTGTATTAGCTCTTTCCTTGCCAACCCATGATATATCGTCAATTTTACTGGTCACGATTGTGCCAAGCCACGATATATGGTCGAAATAATTTATGTTGTTTATTTTGTTGCCTGTGGCTATTAATCCGAATTTTTGTGTTCTTAAACAAAGGATAACTCTTCATAATTCCTTCCTGTTAGAAGCAGGGCTTTTTTACATGTGTTTTTTCTAATAATAGTTCAGTTTGTGTTGAAAATTTTGTAAACAAAGCCTACTCCAAGCACATCAGCTGTTGCTAGACCACGTAGGAAGTCAAAAGATCTTTTATTGCTTATTATTGATGCTAAAACATCAGACAATAACCATGAATCATTTGAATCTGATTCCAGTGATGATTTTCAGCTTTCTGATGAGTCGGTAAATACCAAAGGGAAATAGTAATAGAATGGTGATAGTGATCGTAATAGTGGTGACTGTCTGCACTTTCATAAAAATTTCAAAACATTTTTAAAATATTAAGATACCACGAATGTATAGAGGCTAGAGAATGGATTACAAAAAAACCCCACCAAGATCAACTTTCTAGCTCAAGTGGTTCAAAATTTATGAATTTTTTTTAAAAAACCACATTGTTACTATGGCAACAGTGAGGTTTCAGATAATACTACTCCTAACATTACAAAAATGGGTATAACTCAGTCACTAAATGGAATTTTTTCAAAATGTAAAATGCATTATGATCAAAAATGGAAATACTTTCTGAGCATTGAAGCAGAATACGGGCGGCCAACAGCTACACAAATTGTATGGTAGTCAAGAAAGTTCAGATTTGGTGTGCATTTTAAACAAATTAAAAATTTGATCTCATAATATTACCAGTAAAATTTAAACTATTGTTGTCATATTGTTTTATCTGTCACATATTACTATTCTCTGTCTAATTTCCTTTAATTTGATATGAATACAGCCATCTTGCTAAAAGTAATGTATTCAAAATTAATTAATAGATAAGAGCACCCTAAAAAATTTCCATTGGCGGAAAACTGGTCTGGCACAAACTTGGAAAACCCCCTGGCATGGAAAGAGTGAAAACAGAGCATCCAACCCATGAGCTGTCTGGATCTAATCATTTAAAATAAAGGAGAAAAATACTTATTGAAATATTTTGGGTTCTAGGATTCATTTTAGTCTAGGAAAGCTACCACCAAGGTACTTAGTCTGGGAAAGCTACCACCAAGGTATTGATCTGATGTGCTATGGGCCACTCGAGACATGACTTATAATTATGTTCATCTTTGTATGGATGCTCAGACTGTTCAATCTCCTTATGAATGTGAATCCTCTACTTGTCTTATTTGTTTTGCTGATCCTTACATAGATTTCCTTGTCACACCCACCCATTTTGTCCCATAGTGTTGACTTTCTCATCCCACAGTGGACTGTTTTTCAGAGTGACTACATCTACATCTGTCATTATAGCATTTTTTCTACTCATGCTTTTTGTTTCTTTTATTTTTATTGACCTGTTTCTGTTTATTTTTTCCTCAGCAGCAATCCTTGCAGCAGCAGCAGTTGAACAGGGATTTTTCAGGGGGAGATCAACAAGGAATTATTAATCAGAAAATACTCTCCGAAATAGAATCCCTGTCAAGGAGAACAAAGGTATTTGTTTTTTTTATCTAGATTAGATTGTTTGGTTTAGTTTTAATCATAGGTGTTTACCCTCTTACAATGTCAGTTTGTAAAAGTTGAATGTTGTTTTATTTCCCTTCCTGTCAGCTGACAGAGCTTGATTGTAGGAACTTACAGCACCAACAAGAGTCTTTCATCATTCGCTTCAGTGACTCCCAGAAAGTTACAGGTAACTCTTTAAATTTATTCCCAGATTCAGAAAAGGGCAACATTAACCATAATATAACATAAGCATAAAGAGTAGATGCCAAGCGCTTTTTATTTTCTATTGACAAATTCAAAATTTGTATTTAAATGTGAGAAAAATACTACTTATTTGAAACTAAATAGATCATAATTTATTTTTTATTTTTTTTAAATTTCACAAATTTTTAAAGTTTAAGCCATTGAATATAAATGCAATAAAAAATGTTGGATAGCATGACTCTTATTCTAGAGATACTGAACTGTCAAAATGTTGGATAGCATGACTCTTATTCTAGAGGTACTGAATTGTCAAAATGTTGGATAGCATGACCTTTATTCTATAGGTACTGAACTGTCAGTATAGCAACATTTTTTCCCGGGGCTCCGGTTGGCAAGTTTGTGGTGGCTTGCCAATTAGGAGGTGTTGGCCACCGGACCCCCTTGACGTTACCCGGGGAACTAGAACACCATTGCGTGTCCCACATGGGCAGACAAGGGACATGCACGGTACCTGAATAAAAAACAGCACCTACAGTGCTGCCAACTGTGACACTACACAGTTGGAAGTAAAGGCAGAGACAGGTTAGGGTTCATGATTACAAGTTGCCGTTAATTGATATGCAGCTAGCTAAAGGTGGAAACCTCTAGCCGATGATTCTAAATACGCAGCCCTAACAAAAGCTGCTCCTAGGCAAGCATTTCGTCCCAGCTACTTCGCAAACTAGTTGCCTGCTGGAAACCCACTGTAGAACCCCTCTTAAATGATGTCCAACGATTCCCTGGGATGGGTGGGGTAATATATTAGGACGTTAATGTACCACCCCCGACTCACCCAGGCCCTGACTCCTTGGGCTGCAAATGCTTTAAACTCAGGGTTTTTGGTCGACCCGACGTCCGTGGGTGGGGAAAGCCTCCATCAGCAAAAGCAGTCAAGCAGATCCGGGTGGGGGCATTCCAGGTCCGGGGAAGTCCCTGGCGAGCCGTCGCAAGGTCCGGGGTCAGGGAGACCCGGTGTTTGGGCTGTGTGGAGGGCATTAAGAGCTCACGCTTGACGGCCCGCCGACACCATTTTCCAATGTGACATATTTAGTATAGCAACATTTGAGGGATGTACAACTTTACAACTCTTTTCAGGTCAGATTCATCAGCTCCAACAACTTCCTCCATCAGATGATAGAGCACAGAAGGAACAGTTGTTTAGAAATCAAAAGGAACAGATTGATAATCAGTTGGCCCAAATGGCTCAGCACCTGCTACTCAATAGGCTGGTGTGTTATGGTTATAAAGGGTAGTGGTTGGGGTGCAACTGCTACTCAATAGGCTGGTGTGTTATGGTTATATAGGGCAGTGGTTGGGGTGGAGTTAAGTTAGGCTTGTAAAGGGAATTCATGGGAAAAGTGTGTGTGTGTGTGTGGGGGGGGGGGGGTGTTTAAGTTTTAAAGGGCAGTCACTGGAGTGAGTTTTTTTGATTTAGCTTCACTTGCTAGTTTTTTAATTTACTATCCCCAAATGTTTTACATTAACATTTCTATGCTAAGTAAAAGTGAACATGGCTGCCACACAGTTGCATAAAATAAGTTTATTCACTTTAATTGACAGTGTAGTTATAGCGAGACTGCGAGACTATCATTCTGAAAAGGTGAAGTTTTTTGAAGGCTTTGTTGTTTTTTCTATGGAATCACAGCTCTCAAAATAGGTGTATACATTGTTTATTTTAGATAGTGAGTAACTCCTGCCCATGCACATATTGGTACTGCATGTTTATGGGGAACCCCTGGACTAACTAAAAATAAAACAAGGCTTACCTGAAGACACATGCATCATTCTTATATAAAAGCTATAAAATCCATTTATTTATTTTGTAGACCAGTTATTTTTTGTTATTGCCTATTTAAATAAAATTAAAAAATTACCCATAAAGTTTAATTTTTGAATCCAATATTTAAAAAAGATAAATTCAAGTGTTATTGAAAAACCATGATTTGTATAGTGTGCCCCCCTTTGATTGTTTTGGATGACCCCCCCCCCCTTTTTTTTTTCCCTCCCCAGTCACTGTCATAGAAATGATTTTAAGATCTATTGAAAAACCATGATTTGTATATTGTGCCCCCCTTTGATTGTTTTGGATGACCCCCCCCCCCTTTTTTTTTCCCTCCCCAGTCACTGTCATAGAAATGATTTTAAGATCATTGCTATTCAAGTTTCACCATTTTTATTCACATAAATCCATATCGTATGAATGAATAAACTGATGCTTCATTGACTCTAGGATTTAAAAAAACAACAACAAAAAACTCAGTTTAAAAAAAGAAGAGATATTTATTTTGTTTTATCTGATAGGAATTGTCAAGTAAATATGAGCAAACTATTGGAAGCCTACAGGAATTACAAAAGGAGATTTTGGATAATGAACTGATCTCGTGGAAGAGAAGACAGCAGCTGGCTGGGAATGGCCTTGTGATGGACAACACTAGCATTGAAACGTTGCAGAGTTGGTAAGTAACAAAAAAATAAATTGTCCATTTCGAAATCAGAAACAGAAAATTTGGGAGCTGTGAAATAAATATACCAGCCAACTGAACTAAATTAAAGTGTATCAAACATACGCTAGTTGTTTGTCAACAGATGCTGCACAGTAGTTCCGTTCTATACACAAACTAAAGCTTCTACACAACTAATGGGTGACACCGCACACCAAAACATACACCAATGCATATATATGATGTGCAGTGTTTCCGTACCATATTCCAGTCTGACCACAATGATACATGAAACTTACTTTTTCTTACCACAGGTGTGAATCACTGGCAGATTTGATTTGGCAAAATAGACAGCAGATTAAAAAGTGCACACAGTTACAGTCCCAGCTGCCTATAAAGTATCCAGAAGGACAAGAGGACATCTTGCCAAAACTGAACGACACAATCACTGGTCTCCTGTCATCGCTTGTCACAAGGTAATGGAGGCATTATTCTGTGATGAAGTTTGCATGATGTTTACCAGATTTTACCATGTGAAAATATCATCCTCTGGTTGTGAAAACCACCTTGTGGTTGGCGGACTAGTAGATTCTGTAACTTACAAGACTTGTGCCAAAAGGGTTGACAGTGAATCTAAAATATAACGTGTCGAGCATTTGGATGTATAAAAGTTTATGAAAGGGATTTTAAGATATGTTCTATGAAAGTTGAAGCTGATAGAAATTTTTGTAAAGTATACTTGTTACAGTTTGGTGGAAAATATGCTTATGACAGTTTGGTAGAAAGTATGCTTGTGACCTTTTGATGGGAAGTATACCATTGACAGTTTGATGGAAAGTATACTGTTGACAATTTGAAGGAAAGTGTACTGTTGACAGTTTTATGGAAATTTTACTGTTGACAGTTTTATGGAAATTTTACTTGTGACAGTTTGATGGAAAGTTTACTTGTGACAGTTTGATGGAAAGTTTACTTGTGACAGTTTGAAGGAAAGTATACTGTTGACAGTTTGATGGAAAGTATACCGTTGACAGTTTGAAGGAAAGTATACCATTGAAAATTTTATGGAAAGTTTACCTAAGACAGTTTGATGGAAAGTTTACTTGTGACAGTTTGATGGAAAGCATGATTGTGACCAAAAAAAAAGGAGGAATCTTTGGTTTTGTGAATGGCTTAAATATTTTGACATAAAAATTTTACCTATAAAAAGTTATTTGAACCATTTCTAAGAATAGTAAATTTTTAGGGGTGTGGTTTCAAATTTTGATGGGAAACCCTGTTTACTGAGTTATATTTGGAGATGTTTTGGTCGCACTAAATCCCTCCAGTTTATGGTTGAAAAATAATTGCTCATTGCTTTCTCTCACCACTCAAAGTACTTTCATTGTGGAACACCAGCCTCCACAAGTGTTGAAAAAAGATGCCAGGTTTGGGGCTGTTGTTCGCTTACTAGTTGGAGGCAAGCTCAATGTGCACATGAACCCACCTCAGGTGAAAGCCACAATCATAAGGTACGTTCTTCCGGGATGAAGCTCAGTGCTCACCGGTCATCTTGTTCCCGTAGTTGACGAGAGTGCTTACTGCTCTATAAAAAAAGGAAACGAGTTAAAAAAAAGTATGGTCAAACCTGGAAAAAGGAATGCAACAAAACAACGAACGTGCCGGCAGGAAGCCTTCGCCAGCGAACAAAGAACAGAATAATATCACTTAGCTGAGAAATAGTATCCGAGAGGGCAGCAAAAGAATTGTGAAATTGCTGTTTAGCTCATTTGAAAGAAATGTAAATCATTTGTTAACCAAGTCAAACCCTGAATGCCAAATAACTAACTTAAACTTTAATTCATTTGCTGCCCACGGATACTTCCTCTAAGCTAAGTGCTATTTTTTAATTTTATTCTGTTTTTCCTGTTGTTTTGTTCGCTGACGAAGGCTTCCTGCCGACACGTTTGTTGTTTTGTTGTGTTCCTTTTTTCAGGTTTAACCCTACTTTGTTTTGCTCATTTTATATTAAGCTTCAATGACTCAGTCTTTTGCGATGAGTTGAAGATGCCTGATATAAAGCTTCAGAAAAACCCACCTTTTTGTTTCAGTGTATTTGAGGACTTATTTGGGTTGAAAAGTAATCTTTAAGATAAAAAAACAAATCTATAAACCACTTGAACAAAAAAATCTATCAAGGGATTAAAAAAATACAGGTAAGCTCTGTCGGTTGCAAAATTTTTCATTTCGATCTTTCAAACGCTATTTTCTCAGCGAAAATCAAGCCAAAGACTTACTTAGGAATGATGTGAAGGCTAAAAATGATACCAGTGGTGATATTCTCAACAACACAGGAACCATGGAATATCAACCCAACAATGGCCAGTTGAGCATTAGCTTTAGAAATATGGTAAGCCAGTTTCTAGATTCTAAACTACTTTCGTACCAGTCTCCTTAGGGGATGCTATATGTGCTTGCTTTCACTGTATTGAGTAACAGGAACACAATACCTACACCATAGTAAAAAACAAAATGGATCTTTTTCATAATTTTGTTATTTTTCTTTGTTCTCAATTCAGTAAAGTTGTTACCGTAGATGAGATTTGAAAGCTTTAAAACAAAAAAACGTCCAAGAACTGTTAAGCCACATATGGTTTGTTAATAAACTTTATTGGAGGCTACCAACATGAAACTGAACTCATTTTATTTTCAGCAATTGAAAAAGATTAAAAGGGCAGACAAGAAAGGATCAGAGGTAAATATTTTCTCCACCTGTTTTGTGAATAAAAATAAATAAAGCATTAAAATTGAAAACCATATTTTAAACTAATGTTCGGTGAACTCTCCAGTGGGAAACGCTCAGTTGGTGGGCATAAAAAAAGCTTCAAGGACTGTCTAAAAGCTTTGCACAAGTTCATTGACACTGACTTTGACATTGACACTCATGGTAAACGCTTGCTATGGATCGAACAAGCTGGTATGGCAGACTCACTGTCAGAGCACATTCCTCGGAGAATAAGCGCACTGCTCACGCCCAAAGAAACGCAAGTCAAGGAAAAGCAGAATCAACTCAAATCCAACCAGAACTCAAAACAGCGTAAAGCTTTCCAGGCACCAATAGGACTTGCAGCTCGTGAAGAGATACTGATCTTCCATCGAGCGCCTCCCCAGGTGGCGGATAGGGGAAAGCCCACCAGATATGGAGGGTACCAGGGAAATAAAATATCTGGGGCAGACCAAAATCAGAACCTACTGCCTTGTAGGAAGTGGAAGGATCCACAAAGGCTAGGGAACCTTACCCAAAAACTAAGGCAGCTATCCAGAGAGCTGTAAGGGGCAACCCCCCAGACGGTTGTGCGCAGGGTTAACAACCCGGCCACGTAAAAAAATCAACGTTACGAAAGCCAAGCAACTGAACAAAACCCGGACTGATACCAATGGAAATCGACCTATGCATGGATATGGAGATGATTTTTGGATTGCGACTTGGAATGTACTAAGCCTGTTTAGAGCAGGAGCCTTAGCCAACCTTGTAAATCAGCTGGTCAAATACAGAGGAACAAAGAGGGTACATCATCAATACCCCAGAGGAAAAAGGCTCAAAGGCAGACCTAGGCTTAGGTGGATAGATGATGTAGAAAAAGATCTACAGCAGCTGAAAGTCCAAGCATGGAAAAGAAAGGCATTAGTTAGGTCTGAGTGGAAGGAAGTAGTGAGGCAGGCCAAAGCCCTACATGGGCTGTAGCGCCACAGGGATGGATGGATGGAATGGGACTTGCAGGCCACCTGGGCACTCACCATGGTATATAGCGTTCATCTGTGCATGCGAAGGACAAACAACATATATTTTTTTTTCTTTTTCCCAATCCATTTTTGTAATTTTATGCTTATGCCTACATGTTCAGTGAAACAATTAATGAAGAAAAAATTTCAGTGCAACGATTGACCACATACAGAATCAGCCCCAGTAACCCTCTATTGACTAGAGTTGTCTTTGTCAAGTTGATGGACAAACATGTTTTTGTTTTTTCAGGCTGTCACTGAGGAAAAATTCTGCATTTTGTTCCAGTCAGAATTTAGTGTTGGTGGGAATGAATTGGTCTTTCAAGTCTGGGTAAGTCAGAATTCAGTGTTCATGTAATGTTAGAAATCTTATTTTTTAAAATAATGGCAATGCTAATTAAAACATCTTACAATACTTTTGTAACACAAGCCTGCCTAACCTTCTTTTATACAAACCTTTTCAACTGCCTAAGAATAACAAAGGATCATAATTCAATTTGTAAACTTACATGGTTTTTTTTTGGTTGTTTGTTGTTGTTTTTTTTGTTGTTTTTTTTTGTTGCTTTTAAAAAAATAAAAATATATATAAATAAACCATTAGTTCTTTTTTTTAAAGCATTAAAATGAATGTGCGTAAGGCAGAAATGGCATTTCTTTATGTTTCAGACTTTGTCATTGCCAGTTGTTGTAACCGTCCATGGCAACCAGGAATGTAATGCTACAGCAACTGTCTTGTGGGATAATGCCTTTGCAGAGCCTGTAAGTCAAGTCAAATTTGAAGCAGAAAGCTTCATTTATAATCAGAGGGTTTGGATTATTTTAAAAAAATTTGAAAATTAGACTAATCTATCCATTTGTTGTATTTTTTTTTGTATCTACCACTGACCATGGTGTGCAAAAGTAAGGCCCTGTCTATGAAAATTTGTGCCAGATACTGGACAGGGGGGTCATAAGGCTCCACAATAATTTTTTTAATGATTAACAAAGTCATGTCATTTCCATCAGTCCCTAAAAAGACTTGAATGTTATACATGCAGGGTCGAGTGCCATTCAGTGTACCAGATCAAGTGGAGTGGAGCCAACTGGCAGACCAACTTAACATGAAGTTTATGTCTCACACTGGGAAGGGGCTCAGTGAAACCAACCTCCAATACATTGCCTCTAAGTTGTTTGGTAAGTATAAGATTCTCAACTTTTTGAACCTAGGCTTGGGCTGTGTATTTGTCTGCCTTCCACAATAGCTGTTGTTTTAAATCGTAAATAGCAGCAGGTAACATATTTTTAAAAACACCCAACTGTTTATATATAGAGGACAGTCCGATAGAATTATTTTTGTAAAGCAATTCCCAAATCCTGAATGAAACAATTAAGTGTGTGTGTTTGATTTGAATAATTTATTGCAAAATGATTAGATTAGATTTCTGTTTAGTATTTGTGATGCTAGAGAAAAGAATTATTTAAAAAAAAAAAAATGATACAGGACAAATTTATTTGAAAAATAGCACTCGGTTTAATTTTTTTTTTCCTTTTCAATATGTTGTTGTTGAGCCTTCTCGTCCATGAGGGGCATCCACCGATCATCGTCGGCGTCTGCGGTTCCTCCAAGGGCATAGGCCACCTACGAGAGACCTCCAGGCATCTCTATCCTGGGCCAGCTTCTCCAGGTTTGAGCCTTCTCGTCCATGAGGGGCATCCACCGATCATCGTCGGCGTCTGCGGTTCCTCCAAGGGCATAGGCCACCTACGAGAGACCTCCAGGCATCTCTATCCTGGGCCAGCTTCTCCAGGATCTTCCATTCATGGCCAATTTTCTTGATGTCTGTCTCCAATTCTCGGCGCCAAGTGTTTCTTGGACGGCCTCTTTTCCGCTTACCTTGTGGGTTCCATTTCAGGGCTTGCTTTGTTGTGTTAGAAACAGGTTTTCTTAGTGTATGACCAATCCACCTCCACCGCTTCTGGAGAATCTCTTCCTCAATGGGTTTCTGTTTTGTCCGCTGCCATAGTTCTTGGTTGCTGATTTTGTCTGGCCAGTGAATTCTGAGAATCCTTCTTAGACAGTTGTTGATGAAGGACTGGATTCTGGTCAGGTTTACGGCCGTTGTTCTCCATGTCTCGGCTCCATGTAGCAGTACAGGTTTTACCATAGCGTTAAAAATCCTTACTTTTAACTTGCTGCCTAAGTTGTTAGAGACCCAAACATTCTTGAGTTGTTGGAAGGCTGGTCTTGCTTTTCCTATCCTTATTTTGACGTCCGCATCTGTACCACCTTGTTTATCTACCATGCTGCCAAGGTAAACAAAACTGTCCACCTCCTCAAGGGCTTCTCCTTCAAGCATAATGGGTGATGTACTGGTGGCATTAACCTTGAGGATTTTACTCTTCCCTTTGTGAATGTTGAGACCCATGCTAGCAGAAGTGGCTGCGACAATGTTTGTTTTCTCCTGCATCTGTTGTTGGGTATGTGCAAGAAGTGCAAGATCATCAGCAAAGTCAAGATCATCCAGTTGATCCCACAAGGTCCATTGGATGCCATTTCTTTTCTGCTGTGTAGATGTTTTCATCACCCAGTCAATGGCTAACAGGAAGAGGAATGGTGACAGCAAGCAACCTTGTCTCACACCAGTCTTCACCTGGAAAGCATCTGTCAACTGCTGGCCATGGATAACTCGGCAGTTTATCCCTTCGTACATGTTTCTGATTATATCAGTAATCTTCTGTGGCACCCCGTAATGCCTTAGCAATCTCCACAGGGTTTGCCTGTCAACACTGTCGAAGGCTTTTTCATAGTCAACAAAGTTGACATAGAGCGGCGAGTTCCACTCTAGTGACTGCTCTAGAATGATGCGCAGTGTCGCTATCTGGTCCGTGCAGGATCTGTTGGTGCGAAAGCCGGCTTGTTCGTCCCGCAACAGAGGGTCTACAGCGTTTTTCATCCTGTTAAGTAGTACACGGTTGAAAACCTTTCCTGGGATGGACAGCAGGGTGATCCCTCTGTAGTTCGAGCAGGAGCTTAAGTCTCCCTTCTTTGGGATCTTGATAAGGTATCCCTCTTTCCAATCGGAAGGAACTTGCTCCTCTTCCCATATCTTCATAAACAGAGGGTGTAGCATTTCCACACTGGTTTCCAGGTCCGCCTTCAGTGCCTCTGCTGGGATGCCATCAGGTCCCGCAGCCTTTCCATTTCTGAGTTGTTTAATGGCCCTGCTAATCTCTTCTTTGGTGGGACTATTACAGTCAATTAGCAGGTCATTATCGGCTGGTTGGATATCTGGTGGATTTCTTGGTTCAGGCCTGTTCAGGAGCTCTTCAAAGTGCTCCTTCCATCTCCCTCTCTGTTGCTCCTCACTTGGTATGGTGTTTCCCATTTTGTCCTTCACTGGTCTCTCTACCTTGCTAAATTTCCCTGACAGCGTCTTAATGGTATCAAACAGTTCCCTCATGTTCCCCTGGTGAGCTGCATCCTCTGCTTCTTTAGCAAGTTTATCAACAAATTCCTTCTTGTCCCTCTTGATGCTTTTCTTAACTTCCTTATTTGCATCTGCATACTCCTTCTGGGACTTGTTTTTCTGTGCTCGGGTGCAGCTGTTATTCACTTCTGATTTCTTTCTTTTCCTTTCTTCTATTTTATTCAGCGTACCTGCTGTCATCCATTCTTTGTGTGCCTTTTTCCTGTTTCCTAGCACTTCTTGACATGTTGACTGGACTGTTTCTTTCATGCTTTGCCACTTTCCTTCGGTGGTTTCATCTTCAAGTATTTCTTGTAGGACTTGGAACTTATTGAATAGTGAGATTCTGAATTCTTCCTTTTTGGCTTGGTCCTTCAGGAGGGAGGTATTATACCGAGTCCTGTATGCTGTTTGCTCGGTATAATGTCTCTTTAGTTTTAATTTCATCCTGGCCACAAGAAGATGGTGATCTGAGGCAATATCAGCTCCCCTCTTAACACGTACGTCTTGGAGAGATCGCCTGAATTTTTTACAAATACATACATGGTCTATTTGGTTCATCGTTCTCATGTCCGGAGAGACCCATGTAGCTTTGTGAATCCTCTTGTGCTGGAAAATGCTCCCCCCTATGACCAGGTCAGCTGTGGCACATAGGTCCGCAAACCTCTCACCATTGTCGTTCATCTCGCCTATCCCTTGCTGTCCCATAACCTCTTCGTACCCTGTGTTGCTATTGCCGATCTTGGCATTAAAGTCTCCCATGAGGATGACGATGTTCCTCCGTGGGCGATCCTGGACTATGGTCATTACTCTATTGTAGAATTCTTCTTTGTCTCCTTCATCACTTTCATTAGTTGGTGCGTAGCATTGTATAACATCTAGGTTGATGCTACGTTTCTTTGTTCGAAAGGTTGCTAAAAGAATTCTAGGTCCATGGGCCTCCCATCCAATGAGTGCTCCTTGTGCTGCCCTTGATAGCATCATAGCAACACCCAGGGTATGTGGGGCATTGTCTTCTTCGTGTCCCGAAAATATCACCATCTCTCCTGAGATTAATCTCTTCTGTCCCCATCCAGTCCATCTTGCTTCACTAATTCCGAGAATGGTGAGCTTATAGCTCCTCATCTCAGCGGCTATTTGTGCCGCTTTACCAGCCTCGTACATGGTGCGGACATTCCAAGCGCCAATGACGGTGGTAGTCCTGGTAGAGATGATGGTTGTCGGCTTAATAGCTTCCAGGTTTTGGCTTTCACTATTAGGCGTCATATTTTCCTCCTCAAGGAATCCATCCTCTCCCAGGACTGAAATGTCTTTTGTTACTCTTTTCGGTGCTTTTGTAACTATGATTTTTTTTTTACATGGCAGGGTTGTTGGCCTTGCGCACAACCACTTGGGGGGTTGCCCCTCACAGCTCAATGGGTAGCTGCCTTTGTTCGGGTTAGGTCCCTAGCCTTTGTGGATCCCTCCACTTCCTACAAGGCAGTAGGGCTGATTTTGGTCCGCCCCGGGTATTTTATTTCCCCGGTACCCTCCATATCTGGCGGGCTTTCCCCTATCCGCCGGCTGGGGAGGCGCTCGATAGATTTTTTTTCCTTTTCAATATGACAACAGTTAAAATTTTTCACATTTTTTTTAAGGAAATAAAGATCCAGGTTCCTCCACAGTTTCTTGGAGTCAGTTTAATAAGGTATATTTCATTACTTACAAAATTTCCAAAATGTCATATATTATCAATAAAAGTGCTTAAATTACTTTAATTTTTTTATTTGTGTCGATGATATTAATATTAAGCTGAGGTTTGACAAATATATATAATATACTATGGTATTATTAAAATGTACTAAATTTCTGCATAACAATAAAAAGGCCCTTGAAAAAAAATAAAGTTACAAATTTAGTCAATTAACTAATATTTGGTTCTGGACCCATTTAAATGTTCCTTTGTTCCAAAGTCTTCTTTATTTTTTGGAATTATTTTTTTTCCCATGTCCATTTTTTTCAGATAATAGGCATATTGTGCTTCAAATTAAATTTTGAAAAATAAATATTAGTGAAAATGTTAAAAAAACTGAACAGGAAAATTTAATTTCTTTCATTTTAAAGGGTCAGTTCTATTTATTTAAAATTTAATATTTTTTTGTCTCACCACCACATAGGACACATTATCAGGCAGATCTTTCACATTCTGGGAGTGGTTCTATGCCATTCAGAAGCTCACAAAGGAACACTTGAAGGACTTGTGGACTGATGAGTGAGCATTTTAGTTTTGGCCAGAGTGACTGGTCAATTAAATATTTTTTTTAAAATTTGTGGGATGGATTTTATTAATATGAATCACATATAAGTGGTGTTTCAATTTTATTAACCTTACAAGGAGAAATAGTTGTGTTTTTTTAAAACCATGATTTGAACAGATTAATGTCCAGCATTAAAATTAAAGTTTTAGATATGCAACAGATTTCATTCATAAAAATTAATGCACGCTTCAAACTCATAGTTTCTGAAACAAAGGCAAATTCAGGTTACGAAGGGCTATAGCTACTTGCCTAAAATTTCTTTTGGAGTTAATAACATAATTTATACTTGTAGACATAAGATGTATTAATGTGATAGTACAATTTTGAAATTCTGGCTTATTTATTTTCCTAGGAAAATTAAAGGAAAACTGATATCTTAAATAATTTTGATTTTGAAAACACTTTTGTAAACTACTTAATTAAGATAATTATTTAAATTAGAATGAAAACTGGAAATTATCAATCAAAATTGAAGAATAACATTTTGTGAAATATATAAGACAATAATAACCGAGTATGAGATTTGGACTATTTTTTAAATATATGTCAATAATGGACTAGTAAGAGATTTGAACAATTTTTGAAATACTTAAGACAATAATAGACTAACTCCAACTCTGATTGTGATCATGTATCTTTTTGTGCAGGGCCATTATTGGATTTGTAAGCAAGAATCAGGCTCAAGATTGGCTGAGTAGCAAAACAATGGGAACATTCCTTTTACGCTTCAGTGATTCAGAGATTGGTGGCATCACCATTGCTTGGACAGGTAGGGCTTTAACTTGTCTGAGGGGAAATAAGCTGTTTTCTTTTATTTAGGGTCCGACCATCTTTTCTGAACGCGGGTCAAGTTAAACAGTCATTAAAATCCCATTGGCAAACAAAGGCTTTTGAATTGAAATGATTGTGTGAATTTCAGATTTATTGATTCCAGTTTAGTTGTGATTGTTTTAAGATGATATTTTAAGATGGACTGTAAAGATTTCAATTAATCATGGAAAGATTTTGGAAATATCCCTGAACCACATTAGCAAACCACCTTGAATCAAATCTCTGTGTATAGACTACCAAAAACTTGAAAAAAAAATATTTAAAAAAAAATAATTTAACGTATTTTTAATCAGATATCACTTATGGTTATTAATCCAAAACAAGTGTCTCTATGCGTTTCACGCTTAGAGATCTAGAGATAACTGTGAATGTGTTGCAATTGAGTTGTATTTTGTTTAAAGAATAGAGAATGACTCCTAAGCCTGCTGTGCTGTGAGGTTAGGTCAGCTAACATCAGGAGTAAAGAGATGAAATATAGAAGGCTGAAAATGGCACATGCAGGTTTTGCTGACAGTGCAATTTAAATTTGTGCAAAAAAAACAACTAATTAACTTTTTTTTTTCTATGTAAATTAAAAATTTCTGGTGATTTTCCTCAGGTGAAAGAGCAGAGGTGTGGAACCTTGCCCCCTTCACCTCTAAAGACTTTGTTATTCGTGGACTTGCAGATAGGATAAAGGACTTGAATAACCTGCTCTATCTCTACCCTAACAAACCAAAAGATTCCGTTTTCTCCAAGTACTGCACCTGTGCTGTTGGTTAGTAGTTTGCTTCTTATTATGCATATTTTTAAAGACATTATTTTTTTTTTAAACTATGGACTTGCTCAGATATTTTAGAACCTCTTGTATTTAATCAAATAAATATAGTTTTTCTCTTAGTACTGCACATGAATATAAGATAATAAAATATCTATATTTGTCTACTTTTGATGGGGGAGGATTTGATCCAAGCTTATCACGTTCTCCTTAAATATTTTAAAAACTCTGCTATTTTTCCAAAAACATTTGCATTATCTTTCATAAAAATCAAAATCTTTTTTTATTTTTTTATTTTGTTTTTAAAAAAGACCCTTAATTCAATCATGCAAGTTGTCTGAAGACAAATGACCTTTGATATTAATTATTATTTGAACAATCTCAATAACAGAAATACAAAAGTAAATTATGGTTATTGCTGTTTTTAATTTAAAGCTTAGCAGCTGCAGATGGTCCTAGATAAGTACCAAAAAAATCCTGCAAAATTGGCTTATCAAGGGTCAACTGAATATTGCATGTTAACATATAAATCAGTTTCTTTTATATCTTTTGAATTATCCCAGTCAAATTTATTTCTCCACAGAAAATGTAAACAATGATGGCTATATTCGTCCACATCTTAAGACAACAATTCCTGAGTAAGTTAATCCTGGCATTTTGGTTTACTAATCTGTCGGAACTGCTATGTGGGCCTACAGCAAACTGATCCTTCTCTGTTAATCTGTCTCATCAGGGATGTAGGCCTACCAGTACAGCAACCTGGCCCTTCTCGGTTACTCTGTCTCATCAGGGATGTAGGCCTACCAGTACAGCAACCTGGCCCTTCTCGGTTAATCTGTCTCAGATAGGATGTAGGCCTACAGCAAAACTGGTCCATCTCTGTTGATCTGTCTGAGATAAGATGTGGGACTACTGCAAACTGGTCCTTCTCTGTTAATCTGTCTGAGATAAAGATGTGGGACTACTGCAAACTGGTCCTTCTCTGTTAATCTGTCTGAGATAAAGATGTAGGCCTACAGCAAACTGGTCCTTCTCTTCAGGTGATATAAGATGCACTGTAGAAGGTACATCACAATATCATTTAATTCCATTCAAAATGTGCCACAGACTGCACAAGTCTATCCTTGGTTTTATTCAAAACCATTTGTCGCACTTGACATGAGCATTGATTGTTTATACAGCCATCCTTAACATCTTTGAGCCAGAATAATAAGGGCGATAAATTTAAAATACATGACCTAAAGTTAACCAACAAATTAAAAGGCTGATTATCATTCTTTTAATACTCTACGAAGGTCATAGATCTGATCCCCATTCTGACCATTATTATTTTTTTTTTTTTTAAATTTCCCCTTAAATTAATTTATCAGCTAGAAATTACAGATTTTGTATATATATAAAAAAATATTTCTGGTAAAATAGTGCAAAAGTTTTTGCCACATTGTTACCAAGAAATGATAAATCTATAACTGTATAATGGTATCATTTATGAGACTTATTCCATTGCATTACAGACAGTTCAATGCCACTGGGGACATGGATCTTAGACAGCCGTTTTCTCCTGACTGTGGTGGGGACAACAACATGATTCAGAATATGGAAGAGTAAGTTCCATTTTGGCCCTATGCATCTAAACTTGTCATCATACAGATGTATAACAGCATGTTGTGAAATGTGTAGCTTTTTCTAAAAAATTAGATTTATGGACTCACATAAGGGAGAGGTTTGAAGGTGATCATTAACCAGTGTTTAAAAGAATTTTTTGTTTATTTTATTTTTAAAAATATCTGGCTGCTTAGCAGATAGGGGTTAATAATTCATTTAATGGCATGTTTCGGCTTGTTAACTACGGTCAGTTTATGGGTCAAAGTTCAGATGTAAGCAAATCATTTCGTACGGAATAATCCTTACCTAGATTGCCAAAAAAGAATTAAGAGAAATTATGTCATTAAAATAAATAAAATAGTTCTTTTTCTTTTCAAATATTATTTTGAATGTAAGTGAACTTCTCATGCTTAAAAGATGTTACTTCTTTCTCAAATATATTTCAATTTTTTTATTAGTGAATACTATGTTCTTGTATCTTTATTATGTCTCATATGCTTATTTTTATCATAAATACCCATAAAGATTTTTAGAAATCTCCATTGAAAAATAAATGATCTCCACTAATGTTCAAAAATTAGTCTGAAAGGAGGCATGATTAATGTTGTGTTAATTACTTTCATAACTCATTTATACAATAAAAAAAAAAAAAAGTGAAATCATTTACAAATAAATAAAAAATAATTCAAAGAAAATTTATTTCTATTCATTCACCTACCATGTCCTTTCCTAATAATTGATAGAGAGGGTCTCTTCAAACATTACAGTGAGCAAACTACATTTTTACCCGGCCATGGCATTATAATATCCCGGACTTTCTCTGCTGTTAAATAAAGTAATGATGTGCTGTTATACGTGTAAGCCTACAAGGGCCTCTTTTTCTCTCTCAAACGCAGCGTTTGACTCCTGTTGCTCAGCCCTTTGTTTTTACAATAAGGTGAAGATAAGGTGGGTAAAAAAAAAAAAGGAAATTAGCAGCAACGTTCATTGTTTCCAGTAAATAAGCTATTCGAATAGCTGTTACAGATCTTTGAGATATATTTACTACACAAAATTCTGACCAATATTAAAGATTTGTTTTTAAAGTCTTAGTCTATAATGTGAACATAAATAGTAACTGTATCATTTTTTTTTAAATAAATAAATTAAATTAAATTTAAGTTCAGAAAGCTTTAATTTTGTTTAAATTTTTGTATGATGTATAAATACATGATTAAATTGAAAGTTAGCTTTAGTGATTTGAAATTGTTTGCTACCTTGCTTGAAATTCTTTAGCAATGTGATTTCTAAACAAAACAAATGTGTCTTTTATTATGTAATTAGATGGTTTCAGATGAAAATAATTGTGTCAAACACAAACTTTGAGTTTTAATTACTAAATACAACAACTATATGCACATTCTTTAACCTGAAACTTTTGCAGTGTAATTTTTTTAGTAGTTTAAGTTTTGTGTGCAATCTGCAATTTGAAACACTCTTTGTTTTTTATTAAAATGCAAAAAAAATTTGTCAGTTTAGATCATGGGGCCAAAACTTTGACCTAATCTCTCACAAGTATTGCTCTGTGGTCATTCATGGTAACAAAAGATTAGGCTCAGCAATGATCACACTGGCAGAAATCAATGATGGCTTTAATTTAAGGTGTGAGAAGTTATTTGCATGGTGTGAAAGTGGCTATGAAGCTGTATTCTGGACTTACCAACTACAACATTAAGGGCAACCAAAACCATCATCCACTGGGCAACACCTGTGTGGCAGTGTTCTGTCAATGATCTCTAAATGCCCCTGACAACACCTGTTCATGATCTCTAAGTGCCCCTGGGCAACACCTGTGTGGCAGTGTTCTGTCAGTGATATGTAATTGTCCCTATCTGAAGCCAATCCAAGGTGGTAAATAAGTGCAAAGAAATATTTCTTATTTGTATCATTTGAATAGTTTCCTGTATAAAAGAATACATTCATTTCTTGGCTTGAGCAAAGCTTTGACCCCATATTTATACAAGAACATTTCCAACCATACAGCAATCCTCCTAATATTTATGTTTAGATTTATCAACATACCAATGGGACATTAACTTTTCATTGAAACATCACCATAAATTGAAATTTTTTTGTTAGTCTTAAGATACTAGGTAATAGAATATAAATTAAAATATGTTGTGATGATGAATAAATGTCTACACTAAAAAAAATCAACCACAGAGTCTGGTGAACAAACATTAAATAATATTGACAGCAGATGCCTTATAACATAATTAAATCTTAATACATATAGTAAATATTGCTTTGCTTTAATTTAATGTTCATAGTTTTTTTGGCATTGAAATAGAATACATTAAATATAAGGGTGCCCATATTGAGAAAAATGTGTTGTTTTTTTTTAGTAGCCAAATTCCATGCAGTCTCATGTGTCATGGTGCCTTCCCGCCAAAACCCTTTAGTGCTGTATCTTTATTTAGCAACTTAAAGATTATTTGTAACAATTTAAATAATTATTCATTGAACATTGTAAAGATATTTTGCATAGACATACAATTTCCTGAACAATACCTTGCAGCTTTGTTAAATAATTTTTACAATAGACTTTACATCCCCTTGGAAAGAAGTATTCAACTATACATTCATCCCTGAGAGATGTGTTACCGATATATAATATTTTCTTTTCTACCTTCATAGATTTTAGAATTGTTGTATCTTTTTATCTATTTTGTCCATCTAGGCTTCCAATGACACCAATGGGCAACATGGCCCAAGGACTGGCGGAGATGGACCTGAACCAACTGACCGACTTCATGCCTGACGAGATGACACAAATCCAAGAGATTGACGTCCAGCAGTTGCTTGATAACAGTTACCTGACAAATTGAAAGAAACAGCTGCTGCATTGCTAACCATTGTATTTACATTATAGAACTCTTACAGAATTGTCATACAGGAACTTTATTTTAAGTTTGCAGTTATTTGATTTAAGATATTCTATTTCCCCATGTGTAGTGTTTAATCAGAGAGAATTTGTAAATTTTGTAGTAACTAAGGTTAAAAAGATAGATTTAAAACTAATTGCTGTTGTATTATATTAATAATTATAAAAGGTTTGATTTCTTTTTAAAATGTAAAACTATTTATTTTTTTTTCAAATTAAAAGTTAATTAATTTTTCATTAAAAAAAAAAAAGTTAAGAGCAGTACAAATATCAACAATTATTCATTTTTTTTTAGTTCTGTACAGATGCAAATTAATTTTAAAAAAATGATTTTATTCTTTTCATATAACACTGCATTGTCCATTTAACGGTTTGTTTTTGGTACACTTTCCTTTTGATTTTTTTGTGATAGAAGTGCTAGTGAGAGGTCTCAGAACTACACAGATAAGGGCATTATAATATTGATTGTGTTTGAGACAGGAAATGCGTGCAGGAATGTTTGCTGTGGGGAAATGTGATGAAGAATGACTGTTACCATAAAACGGAAACCAACCAGTGAATCTGCTTCTGCTGAAACCGAATTTATTTACATTCTGTATTATAGCAATACGACAAAGTATAATAATATCTAGAGATTTACATCTGCATGCCGGTGGCTCATTTAAAAGTTTATTTGCTGGGCCAGTGCTGAAAAATAAAGTATAGGCCATGGGCAATACTGTGTGCTGCAGTGGAGTTAGAAATGTAAAGCCGATTGTACATTTCATACACCTTTGTACAGAAATGTGTGCATTAATTTAGTGTACAACCTCAATATAGAACTACATCATTTGATCAGTGTACTGTACTGAAAAAAAGATAATAAAAAAACAGTGCCACAGTCCTATTGTTCCCCCTTGTGGAGCAAATCTAGATGAGGCCCTTGACATCCAAAGAGCACTACTGTGTGAAATTGTGTTGTTTTTTTGCCTTTGACTTATGTTACTTTAAATATGGCCTGCGGTTCTTTCATGTAATAATAATAATAATAATAATAATAATAAAGGTGCTGAATATGCACAATGTCTTTTTTCTTTTCTTTTTTTAAATTCATGTTTTTGATTATGAGTATTATTTTGCTCTATTTCTTTGTTTAACACAGATGAAATGATTGAGACTGTGCTTATTAATTGTCATTGGAATCACATTCATTCCATGTACATTATACTTATAGTATAGCTACTGTGGTGTAAAGCTTATAATATATTTGAAGAAATGGTTCATGCTATAAAATATCTTTTAATTCCAGCTGTGTAACAGAATATCAAACAGTCCCTATTGATTTAAATATGTGGTAAATTTTTTTATTTGAAATTCCAGTTCCAAAAGTTATATAAGTGTTTTTGTTTTTATTTCCTAAATAAATATCTACTTTTGTAAATGCTTTCAAGTGGAAATGAGTTCATTGTTCTCTTTGAGTTAACAGACTTGATAAGAAAGATGGCTTCAATTTGGAAGATTGATTTTTTCCAAAGGGAAGCAACATGTCTTGTTATAACAGGGTAGGCAAAATGTGGTCCAAAAGCTTTTCACGGCTCACTAATCTAATTTGATACTTCTATGCAATAACTTTCATAAGACCAGTTGTAATTTAGGCAAGTGAGACTTGGTCCTTAATTCAGGAAAGCAGAGAACCTGCTCAATAGAAGAGAAAAATCCAAAGGAAAAAATGTGGCCGGGTGATTGATAATGATAGATGGAGGATCTGTACAAACCAAGAGATAAATCCATAGTTTGAAGACCACGCATAGTGACAACAATTAAAAAAAGCAGACTGAGACTACACTGGACAGGACGCCTTGAGAGGATGCTGGGTAGTTGAGCAGCAGAAGTGATCAGCAGGCAGAGACCTCGGGGCATATGGCTCACCGGTCCACCAAGAGTGGCAAAAGTGATCAGCAGGCAGAGACCCCGGGGCATATGGCTCACCGGTCCACCTAGAGTGGCAAAAGTGATCAGCAGGCAGAGACCTCGGGGCATATGGCTCACCGGTCCACCAAGAGTGGCAAAAGTGATCGGCAGGCACAGACCTCGGGGCATATGGCTCACCGTCCACCAAGAGTGGCAAAAGTGATCGGCAGGCAGAGACCTCGGGGCATATGGCTCACCGGTCCACCAAGAGTGAGATGGATCAATGATGTAAAGAAGGACTTAATCAGCATGGCGGCGGAAGGTCATGGATCAATCCGAAGGATATGGTGGAGCAGGCCAGGGCCCCACATGGACTGTAGCACCACAGATGATGATCCAATAACTTAAATAACCATACAATATGGACAGATAGATCCTATACAAATCATAAAATATTAATATGCCATGAGGGGGAACCAGGTTGATTAAAGTTTAACAGCGCCTGTTCCCAGTTCATAACTAATGCCCTTTCACCCAAAGGTAATATTTTCCCATGTTCTACCACCCAGTTTTGTCAATATTAGATGGTGTTAAAAATGTAATCCTTGCAGGAGCCTTCAAAGAAAAACTTCTCATAAATGAAGTGAAGATCGCTGACCATGAAAAGCGGCACCGGTATTAGTTTTTAAAAGTTAATCATTATATAAATTATAATAAATGTATAAACTTTCTTTAAACCCTTATTAAATGTAGTTAGTTATATCCAGCGTTGCAATTGTTGATTACTACGTGATGTTAACTTTCTTCATGTTTCTCAGATTTTAACAGTACCATTTTTTTAAAAAAATATTTTTTAAACTAGTAGGTTGTTGATTCTAGAGATTTTAACATTAAAACGGTAGAAATGGTTCCATTAAGAGGTCAGTTTTTGTCTCTAATTATGATTTCCATACTTAGCCCTTTCTAAAAGTTAAAACATGCATATGACTCAAGATATTATTAGTCATTCCTGAAGGTAGAAAAATTTGAACAATTTCAGTCTTATTGTCAATCAACTGAACTAGCACCCACATACTTAATGATGGCATCAGTACTTTTTCATTGGTGCAGCAATCAAATAAAGTTTATGTTTTGATTCCATAGTTTGTTTGGCAATTATTTTTTTAAAGGGAATTTTTAACTTTAACATCCAAGATATCTTATCACAGTTATAAACAAAAGTAAGAGGGATTGAATAACACACCAAGGTTTGCATTATGATGACATAACTTCTGTCACTGTTGCCTTTCTTACAATTATACTCTTTACTTTGTTTAACAGATACTTTGTATTGAATAAAAGGTTCATTCTTTGAAGAATTATGTTATGAAGAATTATGTTTGTTTATATTTAGACAGAACTGTATATCTATACATGTTTTTCAACTTGTATGCCTAATTTTTATTTCTCATTTGTGAATGTACAAAGAATTACATGTTTGATTTGGGTGTTGATTCTTTTATGGCTGACTGGAAGTATCAGTATTTACACAAAATAACATTATTTTAACAATTACAACTTCTTGAGTGTTTGTTGCATACTAGATCTCTTATACCGGGTATATATTTTTTGGTGGACTGCATCCATTTCCGGATAGCGTGCAAAATATAATATCCGATAACTGCGCTACCTGTAAATAATTTTTTTTTAATAAGGCAATTGCCTTTGGTGCGTAATATTTTCTTTTTAGAAAATGAAAGTCTTAATTTAAAAATATGGTGTAATAAATATTCGGTTTAAAAGTGGTTGGGACATCAGAATATTGATATAGTGGACGACAAAGCGATGGATGACTTGCAACAATCTGAAGCTAAATGATGATAAAACGGAAATCCTTCTCATCCACTCTTAAAACAAACCTCTTCCTCGATCCGCTCCTTCTTCTATATCTATTGGCAACTCTGACATCATTCTTTTCCTCTGCCAGAAACCTTGGAGTCACGCTTACAGACACCCTCTCCATGGACAAACATGTCACGAATATATGCAGATCAGCATACAACGAAATTAGAAAAATCAACACCATTAGACACCTCCTCTCCTTTGATGCCACAAAAAATCTCGTCTCTTCACTCATTCTTTCAAAATTTGACTACTGTAACACTCTTCTCGCAGGCATTCCTCAACTCCACATAAACAAACTTCAGAAGGCACAGAACTCAGCATGCAGACTCATTTTTAAATCAAAGAAACATGACCACATTCAACCAAACATGCGGCAACTCAAGTGGCTTCCAATATCCTCTCGCATCAAGTACAAGTCTGCCAATCTATGCTTCAACTCGTTCACTGACCCTAACTTTCCTGTCTATCTCTCTGAACTGTTGCCTCCTTACATCCCAAGAAAACTACGCTCTTCAATTGACAATGGAACCCTCTCAATCCCAAGAACCAAAACTAAAACCATCTACTTCCATGGGCCCACGTTCTGGAACCAGCTCCCCTTCCACATCCGTCATTGTGAAACCTCGTCCACTTTCAAAAAGTCCTTTAAAACCCATCTGTTTAGGTCCGCCTATGACCTGTGATGCACCCTCCTCGCCCTGCCTCATTTTCTGTCTCGGGTTGATCCTGTAGTATAGGCCAAAACGTGCCAAAGTGTACTTGTTTTATAGCCATTTTAATTGTTTCTATCGTATAGTAGTTACTATCCTAGTGTCTCTGGTTTTTCATTTTTATTTTACATAGTTTACATGTTTTTAATAATTGTAAAGCGCTTAGAGCTTTGAGGTAAGCGCTATATAAAAATGCATAAATAAATAAATATAGTTGATGGGCGTGAAATAAAAAGTGTGCAGTGAAATTTCATGGGGGGAAGGGGTTTAGCAAAAATTGGGATTCTTAAATGTGTGTTACTTGAGTTCTGGTTTTTTCAAGTAATTTTAGTAGACAGCAAGTTCAATGCGTTGCTGACGCCAATGCTTGGCGAGCTATAACTAGCATATATATAAAACAATTATTTCTCTATAAATTGGTACAAAAACAAATAATTTGTTCTTATCTTAGCTCCAATTTAAAATCTCTTCAAATCCTTTTAGCCTGCAGACGCTAGTAAAATATCTGGATGAAAGCATACAAGCAGTTTGTACTATACAAAATACAGTTAATGCAAAAACTGTCAGAAATTAAACCCCATTTTGCCTGAATATTGGAAAAACATGAAGTCTTTAAGTAGCTAGTATATCTATTGTAATCCATATGTGTGGGGGGGGGGCAGTGGGGGGGTGGTCTGCACTTTTTCTTTATATGGAGGGGCAGCATTTTTTCAAGTGTAGTGAACGCAGTAAAATAAAAATTTGACATTCCCAAACCGCACTTACCCTTCTAGCAACACTTTCCAACCAGTTAGCCTCCCAGTGACTCCCAGAAAATTAGTGTTCACTTATTATAATAAGTTATATGTTTTCTCCAGTTTCCAATCAGTTCAGTTGTAAGAACTCCAAAGCAGTGGATTATGAATACAATTTTAGGATTTTAAAGCAGATTTCAAAACAAATTATCCTTGCAAAATATTTTTTATCCTAATTAACAAGGCTTAGCTGTACACTGATACATTATTTCCCCTTCATCTGTAGTCAAAATAATAACGGCAAAAAATGCTATCTGAAATTGTATTCTTAAATCGGTTCTGCACATGAACCATGGAAATTCAGAAAGCTTAGCTATGTGTCTTGATGAACTTCACCACTAATCTGACCTGATGATACATAAGTTCTGAGACAGAGCTCTCTAGTTGGACATGACTTGTTTATTCAGTTTACACAAAATTTAAGCTGGTTATGTTGAAAATGTGAAGATATAATTAATATAAACTCTGTAAATAACAAGTATGGCCGAGCTTTAACTATATGGACTAAATACTAATAATGTTTCAGTAATAAAAAGGAAATGGAAAGTAATTTTTTTTAAAAACAGAAATTAAAAAAGGCTAGACAGGTATCCTACAAAACAAAACAGATAAGTAAGTAAGATTGCAAAAGTATTGTGTACAACATAAAGAGGAAATGATATCTGCAAACAATGCACAGAAATCATTAAAAGTATACAAAGTGTATGATGGAGTTCTATGAAAGATTTGTTTTATTAACATTTTTTAAAACAAATGATACATTTGCAAAGTTTGTTAATTCCTGGACATGTCATAATTTTTCATTGAAGTCCTCTGAAATTTGTCCACAAAAAATATCTCCAGCAATTTCTACATTTCAAAGGAGTAACTTGTTTTTTAAAATCTATAGATGTCTTTACAAAAAATACTTGATTGTTCCTATTCTGACTTGTCTACTCCATGAATATTACATACAAAGTTTTTTAAAATATAAAGAAAATTTCACAATAAATTCAAATAATAAAATAAATTTCCTATTTAGAGATTGTCAAAGCTTTGTCTGTGAGCCTGTCCTCCTCTAAAAATTTGAGACGTAATTTTTCTTCAAAGTCAAAATATGTGAGAATTTCTTCTTGTTCCTGGAGCTCCTTGACCTGCCTCTTCATCTCCTCTATCCTCTCATTTTTCCTATGCTCTTCCATCTGTCTATCAAGCTCCTTCCTTCGCTGTTCAGTCCAAACACTCAGCAGAGACTTTTGCGCTGAAATATCTAGGATTTCAAACTGTGATAAGCTTAGAGATACAATTTCTTCAACTGCCTTACCTAAATCATAGTCGGGTACAATTTTTCCACAAGATTTCAGCTTTTCCTGAAGCCTGGAAAGCTCAGTCAGATATTCTTGTTTCTCATCTGTGGTGGGTAAAAGCCGATGAATGACATCATCAATTGTTCTAAGTGCAAGTTCTACTTCAGGCTCATTTGGGTCACGTGCATCCACTTTTTCTAAGCTCTCTGAAAAATACTGCAAGGCTTCTTGTGAAATGACACCATCAGATGAATCAGCAATCTCCTTCAGCAGTTTTAATCCTCTGGGAAATTTATGATAAATACCACTGCCAATTATCTTAAGTGAATTACGGAGATCATTTGGGAGGTCGACAGACTGGAGATTCCCTAACCCAAGGAGTGTCTTCCCAAGAAGAAATCTTTCATCCTTGATATCAAAGTGATCATCATAATACGGGAATTTGATGTACTTGACCTTAATCCACTCCTCTTCCTCCCCAGCAGGTTTTTCTACCGGAGGGCATGCCAGCTGGTCAAGTTCTGATGACAACAAATGTCGAACTGAGGCATAGAGACACAATAATGCATTAGATGGGTTGGAAAAATCTTCCTGAAGCATGGAGATGTATGAAATTTTTGCAGCATCAGCAAAGTTTTGCTGTTTAATAAACCAATCCAATGTTATGTTTAAAGTATAGTGGTTGGGAAATATTCCGTAAGTTTTGAAGTCTGTGAAAAGTTTTACAAGATTATGACCATGACCAGCCGATAAAAATCCTAAAGCCACAGCATGAGTTGTTGAGTCATTGCGGGGTACACTGGTTTGACAGAAGTTGTATCTGCAAAGATGCCAATTAGGTATAAATAATTTAAAATTTAAAAAGAAAATTGTAGTCAATACATTTTTAAAAGATTAATGTTACATATAATGAGATGGTCTAAATCACAAATTTTAAGGCCTATAAAAATTACTACCCTAGAAACAGAAAAAAATATAATTTATTTTTAAAACTGTAACTATAAGTAAGCAGTACTAATAAGGTTTTAAGTTCACGTTTTCATTTTTTTTCTCCCTTGCTAAGCACTGATAAAATCTATTACCTGTCAACTTTATTTGAATATTCGAACATGTTGGGTCAAAAAGTGGGATCTTTAAACATAATTGTAAACCCATGCATTATATAAAAAAACAAATAAAATATACTTACTTAGCAAGTACATCCTCTAAAAATTCCACCTCCTCCTCTTCCATTGCATGAAACTGATGAGCCAAGACATTCATGTCTACAGCTGATACATGGCCAGACTTCTCAAGCTGATCTCTGATCTCAAATGCAAAGTCGCTAAGAGAAACCTAGAACATAAGTGCAAATATTTGTGACCAACTTTGTAAAGGAAGAACTTATTTTAGTGGTTCTCAAGTTGTTTGTTCATCCAAAGAAATACAAATTAGAATTTTTAAGTGTCCTTTAAGTTTAAATTTAACCAGTAAAATAAGTTAAATGGTAATATTTGACTAAACCTTTTTTTTTTTTTACAAAGGAATAAATTTGCATGATAATAAAAGAGCATGCCAAAATTATCATGAAATTTCGAATCTCTAATTAGTTCATGCGTTCATTAAAAATTATTGATAATGTACACTAATTTTAATAAATGAATATTTACTAACATATTCCACCTCAACCAGGTATGGTGAAACTAAGACACATCCATCAAAGGAGATGTGCCATGCTGTTCAAAGGTGCAGGTCTGATTATCTATTAGAATCTTCGATGCTATGGGATTGTACCAAATCAGGTACATGCAAGACCATTTTTAAAGACCATTTTTAATGTCTTGTGACATTTTCATTGTTTACAAGGAACCAATGATTTTGTGAGCTGCCAAGACTTCAATA